AGACTATCATCTTCTACATTTATCAGTTTAGTTCAGCATTCAGCTTGAAGAAAAAACATCCAAGAAATGTGGGACGACATGTCATCAGGTATCATCAGGTCATCTGCAATCACAGAAAGTGGCCAAAATCTCAGGATTCAGCGTGATATCGCAGCCAGTCAAGTCAAGTAAACGCAAATGGGCACCTTGATAGCCGTGGCTTTGTCATGGTTTGTCTACCCTCTGGTAAACATACAAAAAACTATGGAAAATCACCATTTTAATGGGAAAACTCACTATAAATTGCCATTTTCAATAGCTATGTTGAATTACCAGAGGGTAAGTCTTGGGGGATGGACCATGCGACCATTAAACAGTTGCGAAGCCGATGAGAGTTTCAGCAATGAATGTCTGGGGTGCCGTTTTCAGACAAACACATTTTAAGATGTGGGCAATATCATATCTAAATCTAAATCCGATGAAATTGGCAGAATCAAATGCCAAAAATAATGGATAGACTCTACAATTGAATGCAATTGGATTTTTCCATGCACTTTGCCATTTGACTTTGAACATATCATAGTGTTGGGTATAAATTCCAGTACATCCCGTATTGTATTCCCGTAAAGTGTTTAGCTTTATATCCCCAGTTGGACAAGTTGGACAAGATTTCCCTTGTTTTCCCATGCGTTCCGATGATTTTCCCACCCTGTCCATGTTTGTCCCATGTTCCTACGCTTTTCCCATCCTTTTCCCATGGACTTTCACATGATGTTCACATTTTCCCATGCTTTTCCTATGGTTTTCCTATGGTGTTCCTATGGTTTCCCATGCTGTTCCCATGCTTTTCTCATCCTTTTCCCATGTTTTTCCTATAGTTGTCCTATAGTTTTTCTGTGGTTTTTCCTATGGTTTTTCCTATGACTTTTCTATGGTTTCCCTTGTTTTTCCTATGGTTTTCCTATGGTTTTCCCTTGTTTTTCCTATGGTTTTTCTATGGTTTTTCTATGGTTTCCATTGTTTTTCCATGTTTTCCCTATACTTGTCCTATAGTTTTTCTGTGTTTTTTACTATGGTTTGCCATGTTTTTCCTATGGTTTTCCTATAGTTTTTCTGTGGTTTTTCTTATGACTTTCCTATGGTTTCCCTTGTTTTTCCTATGGTTTTCCTATAGTTTTTCTGGTGTTTTTCCTATGGTTTGCCATGTTTTTCCTATGGTTTTCCTATGGTTTTTCCTATGACTTTCCTATGGTTTTCCAACCAAAGCTCTGGCAAAAACCGCTGGGCTCCACCGACTTCGGCTGGCAAACTCGGCCACCTCTTGAGCCCCTCAGCGGACTTTCGGAAGGGGGCTGAAAAACCTCGAAAAATATAGGGATTTAACATGAAACACACACATATATATATATATATATGGTATATATATATATATATGGTTTTAATATGGTTTTAATATGGTTTTAATAGGGTTTTAATATGGTTTTAATATGGGTGTAATATACTTTGATCTAACTTTGAGTTAACCAAGGATATGGAAGTATTCCAAGATATGGAAAGATTTGTGGTATTGAATGGGAATTGATACAACCATCAATATCATCAATACGTGGGACTTAACAGAATATACCAGGGTTCACCTGATCATCTGATGATCAGCCAAAAACAACCATGGCGGTTTTGCTGGCACCTTATTTTTGAGATATGTACCCTGTGGTATTTTAACGTAGCTATGGACAATCACAATTCTGAATAGGTGAATCATCATAAATCATCGAAGTAAATGGGCAATTTTCCACTTCGCAAGCTGTTCAATAACCAGAAGGTAGAAGCAAATCACCCCTCCAGCATCCAGTGAATCCAGTCCTTGGACTATAGAGTGATCTCATCAGATTTTTTGGTTTTTTTTGGATCCTCCAAAATCCAGTCCAGCTCCATCCGTTTCTTCAAAAACCGGGGCCTGAATCGCCAATCTTGGCATGAGCAAGAACCAAGGTGGCTGAGGACTCCTCAGTTGAATCCATCGTTTTCGGGGGAAAAAAATCATCATCCCACCCCAAGGGCTGGCGTGATAGTGTGTATATATATATCCATAGACATACCAATATACAATATGCACATCATATATTATCCAACAATATCTAACAACAGTCTCAAAATATCTCAAAATTATGTTTGACATCTTCAAAATGGGTCATTCACCAACCCCTGTTAGTTGATGAAAATCCTCAAGATTCCCTGAAACCCTCCTTGTAATGTTATGACTCATAGACCACTCCACCAAATAAAGCTCCCATTAGGGGAATTGTTGTCACAACCAATTTCTGGTAAGGCGTTGTTCGCTATGTTTATGGAATTCAATTTGCCACGTTCATTTTGCCCTCTTGTAAAGTAGCACTAGTATAAGAACTCAGGAAAATCGTCTTAAAATCTTCTTATTTGCAGATAATTGTCCAATTGTCCTAGGAAACCATGGATGTTGTGCTCCTGGAACTTACCGGAGGGTATCCCGATGAAACCTCCGACGGATCGTCCTGGGCGTTCAAGAAGGTCTGGTACTGCCTGGCGCACAAAAATGCTGAACATGTCACAGGAAATCCAGCGGACAATAAAAATCTTTGAGATCGCAATTCCACTGAGTTATAGTGGGATTTGAATGGGATGATAGTAAAATTTATAATGTGACTATGTATAATTTATGGATTTATCCTCAAGTAATCAAACATGGTCATGAAAATAACAATCATTTAGTTCGATGATTTTCCCAGCACACCGCCTTGGTGAACAGCCAGGACTGGTGGGACTGGTCGGGCTCCTGAAACCCATGGACGTCAAGCTGTTGCTCAAGGAAAATCCAGGTTTTGTCTGGCTTGGATGTGCAGAATTACAGCCCTTCAAAGCTATGAACATCATTTGAGTGATTTACAACCTTAGTTGCAAGAGATATAGTCCCATTCTTAACTGTGAAGGGCCTTTTCACTGTAGGTTGGATGTGGGCTGGAAGTAGGTTGGGTAGCCAATGATTTCGCGGTTTGATCCTGATCTTACAAATCAAAATGTGGTGGTGTTTCTATGATGTGTTTGTGTTGTTGTTTCTTGCTATTTGCCATCTTGGCCGTTGCTGACTTAGAATCTGAAAGGCTTCAAGGCAAAATGCAAATGGCAGTGTGTCAAAACCTTGTACCCCTGGTGAACATCAAAATAGCTGGTAAATGGATGTTCATCCCCCTAAAAATGGTATTAATAGGTATTGATCCATACCCAAATGAATTGAGGGCAAACCTCTTTTAGAAACACTTGATGTCTGTTGATTCCTTCCATGCAAAATCACACGGAATGCCGCAGCTGCCACCGACCAGAATCGCCCATGTTTTCACAGCGTCTGTGCCAACTGGTCCGCACAAGAAATGCCGCTTTACACCTGGACAGGCTACTTGAGGTTGTCGAATCATTGCAATTACATAATATGATATTATATACATATATCATATTTCTTAGTGCATTTATTTCTTTACCTTTGTGTACGTATGTAAATGTATATATAATTATGTATATAATGTAAACAATGTGTATAATTAATGTATAGTGTATATGTGTATCCGTATATGTGTACATGTTCTGTGTTGTGTTGTGTATATATGGTCCAGCATTCCCAACCCCTGATTCCAAGTTTAGGTCTAGGGTAGTGTCAAGTACCCCACTACCCCCCAAACCATGGAATGGGAATATTATGTACGTGGGTGATATGATGCATTCAGTATAGGTAGTATGTAGGAGTGGAGGTTTAGGGCGGGAGACCATACCATTGGTGGGGTGGGAACGCGGGACACAGAAACATGTATATATATTATATAATTATATAATATATATATATATATACACAATATACACGTACATACAGAATAGAATACTTGGTGCATCAATTGTGCGGCCATGCCATTTTACAACACTGCTGCTTTTGACTCATACGAAATTCCAATCGAATTTCTTGGATGGAAAATTACTCCCCCTGTCGGATGGCTTGGTTTTTTTGGTGGTACAAGGCCAGAATCTCCCACTGCTGGGTTGCCGGCCGCCGGATACAAATGTATAAATTATATATATATGGCTTCGTGTATATGCGATCGAATTGATATGCACCATTGTCAAACTTCATATTCGGAAAGAAACTTCATATTCGGAAAGTGTATGTGCTTGGTTATGTATACAATACAATGACAATACATATCATATATCATATATATATATATATATTTATAAAAATCAATTAAACATCTATATATAAAGTACATCATTGGTATATTTGCCATATGGCAGTGTGTCAAAACCTTGTACCCCTGTAGTTCACATCAAAATAGCTGGGATTTATGGATGTTCATCCCACTAAAAATGGTATTAATAGGTATTGATCCATACCCATATACAACCACAAAAAAAAAACATCTCACAACTCACAACGGTGGTTGTTGTTCGGCCCGGCAGCCGATCGCCTCACCAAACCTGCTGGCAGATCTTGCTGTTCATGTCAACATTGCCTGACTGGCGAAGGCTGGCAAAGGCTGGCGCCAGGCCGTGGTATCTGGCGCCAATATCAACTGATCATCATTCAACTGGTTAATGGTGCTTGTAACTATTTATAACTCCAGTAACTATGGTTATTAATGGGTATTGATGGTTAATAACTATGGTTCATGGTTCATGGATAATCCTCTGGGCAAATTATCATAATTCACTAGATCTATTTGGAGGTCTCCTGAAACAGGGCTACCCCCAAATCATCCCTTTTAATAGGAGTTTCCATGAAATGAATATACATAAACCATCCAGCGAGCTTGGGGTACCCCCCCATTTTAGGAGACTCCCATTTCCAAATGATATCCTGGTTGGTGGTTTCAACCCCTCTGAAAAATATTCGTTACTTGGGAGTTGGGAGTATTATTCCCAGTTTATGGAAAAATAAAAAATCTTCCAAACCACCAACCAGGTGATATACAACCTTAGTTGCAGGACTTATAATCCCATTCTTAACTGTTTCGGGCCTTTTCACGGTAGGTTGGATGTATCCCATTTCCAGTTCTGTCCTCCCATGAATTCCCATCTGCCATCGGATCCCAGTTGCAACGATTCTGCTTCAGAGCCGCAGAGATGCTTCCGTAGCTGGTCTCCGTGAAGTAACAGACGTATCTCACGCCGTCGTACTCCACCGTGCTCTCATGGCACTCCTCGGAGAATGTTTCATGGTGGACCCTGGATCACCGTGTTCCCCGGAAAAATTGGGCAAACATGAGGATACCCATGGAATCAGACACACCTATGTAAAATATATAAAATATTGTAGAAAGTAGAGACAAATCGTGGATTTTATTACGTTCACCACCATTTGAAATGGGATTGGAACCATCTATTTGAGATTTCACCGTAAAAGAACCATGACATATTTGCCGACATGTGGGTTTTGCACAAATATGCACAAATGGCCTAGTTACAGTTGTGTAGGACATATTTCGGATAGGCAATACACATGGTAAATGACAATGATAATGGGTAAAGTTGACTATGAACATGCTGGGATGCGCAAAAATCTTAGAGATTCCTTAACTCAAATGGGGATATGAAAAAAAGATGTCCGGGTACGGTACAGTTAACCTAACTGTAATTCTCAATATTTTGGCACGGCTGAAGGATCTGAAGGTTTCACGGCACTTGCAATTCACCTGCAAGTTTGAGTGCGGCACCTGCAAGTCGCCTGAAATCTCTTGGTTCTATGCAACAAGGCGAAATTCGCATTAAGGCCCTTGAAGAATCGCAAGTCTTGGACGGGAACTTTTTTCTTCGAAGCTTTAGTGATATAGACTTATTAACAATGAATAGAATCAATACATAAACACATGTTGATGAAACATCCCTATTTAATGCAGCAACCGGCAACCGGTATTTGTCGAACAATACACAAACAGAAAACATCAAAAAACCAAACCCATTTATCCCCAACTTTATATCGTCGAGAGGTATTTAAAACATCTAAAAAAAAACATACCCCAAAATGTAAGAATAGGTTGATCCTTGGGTTTGCCTGGGCCATCCTTGGCCTCCATCCAGTAACCATGGGTAATAGACGTTGACAGGAAACTCCCAAGGAATTTTGTGTCAGTTCTGGTGGTCCAACGGTTTGTTTGACAACTTAAACGGTCTGGTTGGACAACTAAAACGTTTGTTTCGACAACTAAAAACGTCTGGTTCAACAACCTAAAATGTCTGGTTCGACAACTAAAAACGTCTGGTTCGCTGAATAAACCCAAATAAACTATTACGTAACAAACACTAAATACCCTGCAAAACATCCCTTAAAGTTGTTGAACTCTAGTTGCTGAACCGCACGTAGGTGTTGAACGGGGGGGTTGCTCCATATTATTCATGCTTGGAGGATCATCTTGATTGGTAGCTGGTTACTAATCATAATATTATCATAATGATATATAATCCCTTGATAGATGGGATTAACATGAATAAACATGGGATAAACATGGGATAACCATGGGATAACCATGGGATGAACATGGGATGAACATGGGATGAACATGGAAAAGCCACGACTTCCAAGGCACCTTCTTGTCCGAAGTGCTAGGGCAAGTTGCAGCCAGAGTCATGGAACGACAGTCCAACAAGGTGGTCGCCTGGGAAATGCGCCAGGAAAAAAGAGTTTCCCACCTCCAAATCCAACAACAACAACTACTACTACTACTACAACTACAACTACAACAACAACAAACAACAACAACAACAACAACTACTACTACTACTACGTTACTACTACTACTACTACTACTAGTACTTCTACTAGCACTTTTACTAGTACTTCTACTAGCACTTTTACTAGTACTTCTACTTCTACTAGTACTTCTACTAGTACTTCTACTTCTACTAGTACTTCTAGTACTTCTAGTACTTTCTAGTACTTCTAGTATCTTTACTGTTATTTTACTGTTACTTTTACTTTTACTACTGCTACTGATGCGCCTACGACTGCGACTACAACTACGATTACCACTACCACTGTACCACTACCCGAACCACTTCCACTACCAATGCCACAATGTTGCGGATGTTGTGTTGCAATACTACACAGCTTTGTCACAAAGCTTGCAAAAGTCTTTAGTCGTGGGATATTGTGGGGAGTCAAAGGGGCGTGATGCCCCTTTTTTCGGTATATGTTGGTACGTTACTTTTGGCGGTGCTTTGCCGTTTCGAATGGTATCACTAAGGAGACCTGTTGCCAGCGTTGCACCAAAGCTGGCAGATGTCGCAAGTGCTTGCGTTGTGGAGGTTGTTTCCAGATGTTGCCATGCCACAAAGCTTACCTAAAAGTCGTTTTTGTAGGGAGTCAGAAGGGACGTTAGGCTCCTTTTGTTGGTACCGTTTTCGACATGAAATTCGTGGAAATTAGCTCGTGTTTTTCCGTTTCCTCTTCAGTATCACTCGGGATCCAACTCAGACCATCCAACCCCAAAGGCCATTCCGAAACGCTTCGCCGCTTCACCGTGGAACCATGGTCTCCCGGTTTGACGTGTTAAGCGGCTCTCCTGTGAGGTGCAGGTAAGTGACATTCCCCAAGGCTGGGGCATGCCTCTTGTCTTCCAGCGTGGGGCAATTCCTCAGCAAGAAGCAAGAAGCCTCATATTTCCTGGTTGGGAAGGAGTCGTCACTTAGATGATTGTTATATTAATTTATGGTAATTTCTAAATACAAGGAACCTTAGCTATATCAAAGAGACTACTTGAAATATCTTGATTTGTCACTTAGGGATATTGGGAATCAACAAAGTGAATAGGCTGTTATAACATATGGGCGAATGACAACACGATATTTATCGCAAAGATCTGATAATATCTGATATCTAAAAGCCAAACTTGGGAAATATATAATAATCACCCAACTACTCAAAGTGAAGCTAATAAGTTCTACTTCATGAATCTGATTCCCCTGTACCATAGGTATTAACCTGGCCTAGGATTGTAAATTAAGGAAACCACAAAACACTGAACGATAGCGGGCCTTCAAATGAATCGTTGCTTCAGTTATAGTTGAAGTAAATGATAGTCTAGCTGAATGTCACTTTAGGTGTATGTAACTGTATGATACTGTATGTATGATAGTGTGAAGATATGTTGGGAGAGAGAAGCGCTTCCCGCTGTCAGCAATCTTTATCGCTGTGAACATGTTCCGCCATCAGTGTGATACATCTTTCAAGATTTCTGAGAATTTGCTGGACTAAGTTGCTCTGAAAGCCAGGGCCAACTACTTTGGCAAGAGATTGGCTCACTGTTAAACACACTTACAGCTCACATCACATCTTTGCAGCCCCCATGAGCTTGAGCTCTTTTGTGACAAGCTGAGCCTCTCTTTCTTTATTCTCTTCGACTGTTGAATCCATCCTTAGAGCCAGCTGCTTCACCACCTTCCAATTAAACTCCCAAAGCGGAAGGTGAATGTACCGTAAATTGCGCAAGTTGGAAATGCCACGCCTTTTTTCAGGGAAGACGTCTGCAGAGTCTGCTGCAAAAGTATCGAATCAACTTCACCACTGAAGTATTCATCTGGTTGGTGGTGCAATAACCATCTTGAAAAATATGAGTTCGTCAATGGGAAGGATTATCCCATACCCATAGGATCCATGTATGGTATATATGCTAACATGTGGGCTATATTGATGGGATCCATGTTACCATACATAGCATACATTGATCCTATGGGATATATCATGGAAAATAAAATTCATGTTCCAAACCACCAACCAGTCATATTCATTCCAAAGCTCCCCAATAGGAATCTCCTGGTTGGTGACCTTGTCCAGCATTATTTTTGCCTGGCGCGAAGCCCAAAACATCACTTAGTGACTCTGCTTTTGGCAGCTTCCGAACCGGAGTCAAACTCAGATCCTACTGACAATCACTGAAACTAATTGGACTAGTTGAGAGGATGAGACTCTGATGAGAGCAATCAAGACCTCTGACCTGCCATGCCCTGCCTACACTGTAATGGTAGTTGTGGATCTGGTCCGTCTTTTCGTCATACCTCAAAGAGCTGAAGGACACATCGCGCCACCAGTCATATTGCGGCAGCATTGCACGGAGGAATCGCAACGGCTGCACTGTCAGAGGTCCACGTTTCGTGCTGGCTGCAGATTTCGTGCGCAGTTAATGTTCCAATGGTATTCCTTTGGTCTTTGCGACCTGCTTTGTTGCGCCAGTTTTGGAATTTTGTATTGCGTCCGTTGTGTGCACAGTCTTACAGTACACGGAGTTCGTCTCCATCGCTGTGATGATGCCTGCTGTTGCATGCGATGTTCTCAAGCCGTTCCTCAGCGGTACTTTGGCTGGATGTTCTCGCAGCAACATACTCAACGCCGGCAAATTAAAAGCCTTGCCTTGTCATCTTCGGGATTTCTGATGTCTACAGCTGGAACAGAAAATCATTGCAGAAGGGTCTGGGGCAACAGAAGCCCAAGGCATATCGTGCCACGACTAAATCACGGCAAGTTCACTAATTTTGTCTTTACGTGAGATGTACGGAATATTACGGAATAAGATATTCAAAAAAATGTGCTTTGGAAGCAGCATTTCTTATTGGCAAACCGTGAAAAGGGTCAGACAAGCAAGCAAGCAGGCAGGCAGGCAGGCAGGCAGGCAAGCAGGCGAGCAGGCGAGCAGGCGAGCAGGCAAGCAGGCAAACAGGCAGGCAAGCAAACAGGGAATGAAAAAAAATATGATACAAAGATATACAAAGCAACAATTTATCAAAACGATATCAAAACGCAATGACTTTGTGACCTGGGAATTGTATGGACACTAATCTGGACT